ACCCTTCCAACTTACCTCCCCTCCCCTCCCTCTACCTCCCCAATACCTACCAACCTACCACCCAAGAACCGGAGTCTATCGATCGCTACTCATCCGGCACCGTCGACGACCCATGGAGTCCCACCTCCGGACCCCGAAAGCGCTCTTACTCCGACTTTGAAGAATTGGGGCCCGTGGATCTAGGGCGTGAGTATCCTGATAAAGTTGAGGAGGAGTTGGAGTATCTTTCGAGGGAAGGGGGGGAGGGGAAGAGGAGGAAGGTTAGGAGGGGGAGGGAGGGGAGGAGGGAAAGGGAAGGGAGGGATAGAGATGGAGAAGAGGAAGGCGGAGAGGGAGGTGGGATGGGTGGTGGAGCCTGAGTGAGGGCGTGGTGTTTGCGAATGGATGAGGCGCGTAGAATTGAGGCTGACGATTGTGGCGGGGGACTTTGTGGGATTCTGGTTTTCTCGCTTAGTGGATCTGAGGCTTGCTGCCTTACTTTCTCTATCGCGGAGTACAGTGGCTGCTTTGGGCGTGAGATATTAAGTGAACTGCTTAGGGCAGGTGTGATATTTTTGTGTGGGTCTAGTGATTTTTACCTTTGCCTTTTGGATTACGGCTGTGTTTTCTGGTATATGGCGTTGCGACGGTACCTTGGGGATGAGGCTTGCAGTACTCTACATGTTTTTGGTTGGGGCTTTGTTGGCGTTGTTTTATGTTTATGGGGGATGATTTGGCTTTGGTCTGGGATTGGGGCCGCTTTTGATGTTTTGTTGGATTGGGTTTGGATAGTTGGGGTTGTTTACTTCTGTGTGTTGTTTTTGTTGTGCACGTGATCTGGATCTTCCGGATTTTTGTTCATTTAGCTGGAATGTGAGAGAGGCCGTCATTACTCTAAGTACATCTAGGTTAGGAAAAGATTATGCTGAAAACTTCGTACGATTATAACACATTGTACGAGGGATTTGGCACAATTGAAATTAGTATACCTTTGTCGACCAAACTAATTTGGGAAAATCAAGTTGATTATGCAAGAACTTCTGGCACAATATACTCCTAAGGTGTACGCAGAGTTATGGAGACGTCCCTTGGATGTTACATGTTGAGATACTTGATTGGTCGGTATGAAGTCAATCTTTCTCACTTACTCTCTGTATTACTTAGAAATGCGCCTGGTTAAGCGAGATGTCTACCATACCCCACATACTCGGGCGTAGTGACACTGCAGAGAGGTTGCAGATGTGCTTACAATGATATGGGAGTTTGCTCCTAACCATGGAATGTCCTCTTTTATAGTTCACGTCGCTTCTTATGGTAACCCGTAGATAAGATAATAGTTGCCACGATAGTAGACCTGGAATGATAGGACAGTAAAGTTGACTATTTGACTATCACAACTCCTTATTATTTTAGTATTATTTGTTTGGGGGTAACGAAAGAGCCTGTCACACAGCTTAAAAAGGGTCGAAATGACGAGCTCCCTCGCAGAAAACTAGGCCAACCTCCACCCATTCTTTATTGTCTTCACCTTGCCAGGTCTCTCCAGCTGGAATAACTGCTCATAATCATGGCACCATCTCAAGAAAAGATGAAAAAACCGATATTTTGACACCTTATTCTTCTTGTTGAACCCAAACCACCCACCTCCTGACTGTATGTGCAAATCCTCCTCCACAAACTCGTAAAGTTCTTCCTCGGTACTCAATTCGTAGCCTTGATTCTGAGCACCTCTTGGATATCCGGAGACTTTTGAGGAGGTTATGATCTTGTAGATGTCGTCTACGAATTGAGGAAGAGCTGTCCAATCATTCCATAATTGCCGGTATTCGAGTTGGGATTGATCCAAAGAGTCATCCCAACCCGAGTCAATTTTATGCAGGATAGGAGAGGAGTTGCTCGCTACTTCGTTGTTGAGACTATTACTGATATTACTTTGGTTTAGGAGTTTGAGCTACATTCAAGACTTACTATCGGAAATATTTTCCTGTGTGACTGTAATACGCCAAGAAGTTCTGAACATCTTCAGTACCCACAGGAAAAGGACAATATCTCAATATCCTGCGAACTAATTTATCTTCGTCGATATCTCGTGGAGTATCCAAGTTCTCGAACTCCTTCTTTGGAAAGATCCTGTCCTCATTTCTCAACAAGAAGCTTTCAAATTCATCGTTTCCTCGTGGTGCAACGAAAGTCTTCTTTCTCGGCAGAGCAGAGATTAGGGTTTCATCTAGTGACTCCCAACCCGGCTCTATGGCACTAATAATATCACCCTTGAGGGTAAAAAGCTCCCCACATTCATTGCAGAATAGAAGAAATGACTGCAGCTCCAATGGTTGAAACTGGAAGTCATCCTCAGTCAAGTTTCCCACAAAGTCGCAGATCTTTGAGAATGAAATCTTTGAGATGTTGATAAACTTTGGTGCAATATCTGGAGATACGAAGAAATCATGGATGGTATTTAGCAACGACCTTTGAGGCACCAATCCACGACTATCAGGTTGATCGAGAAGACCCAAGGCACCAGAAATGTCCAAACCTTCGTACAGCATTATTCCTGACTCTTGACTCTCATATTGAGGCGGCCAAAAGTTTGCGGTAGGAAAGCTAGAAGGCTTTCTTGCTTTGGATAAGACTTTTTCTGCCTTCTTGAAGATATCCTCCAATCCATTCCATTCGTTGATCAGAGAGGATAATGAAATCTCAAGCTCGTGACTGCGCGCAGCGGGTGAGTCGAAGTCAGAGGCTACGAGGTTGAGGAGGTCTTGGTGGTAGTGGTAGTAGTATTTATGGTGTTGTGATATTTGGTCTATGGTTTCTAGCTTCTTTTTGTAGGGAAAATCTTCATGGTGAATTACTTCTTCAATGCGACTGATCAACTCGTGGCGAAAATGTTGAACGCACTTTGTAGCATTAGTTTCAGTGCTCTTAAAGAGGACAGAATGGGAACCTACACAGATATCATGCACATACTGCGAATCAATCAGGAACTGAGCACTCAGACGCCTCCCATCCTTGCTCCTGCGCTTCAAGAAACTCGATGAATGCTTAGCTTCATCATTTGTGAGTTGCCAAATAGCCCGGTATCTTTCCAATTGCCGCTGCAAATCAGCTACGCTGTCCTTGATACATCTTTTCTTCTCATAGAGAGCATGCAATATATCATTCTCGTTCTGCAGACTTTCCTTGACCTTTTTATTGTGCTCGACCTGTTGTCTAGTCAAATCCTCTCGCTCCCTCTTCTCGGCTGCGTTGGCTCTATGCCCAATTCCGAAAATCTCCGCCAGTCGCTTAGTCACTGGTCTTTCCCACTGTTCTGCCTCCTCTTCAATTCGACTGATATTGGCAATCTTGGTTGCAACCAAGTTGCTACAGTCCTTAAACTGTTGATTATACCCCTCAATCTTATTTTCAATCTCTGTTTGGCGGATCTCGAGGTCCTGAATTGCGTTTGTGAGCCACCAGTCCGGTCCACCTTCCCTCCACCATGATGGGATGTAATTTCCTGAGTACAGGTTGTCGTCTCGAAGTTGTTCCCATGTATAGCTGAATGGGGTTGGAAAGGGATTACTTGATTGTCTTCTGGAACTTAGGGAAAATTTAGTTCCACATCGGCGGGTTCTTCCTAAATTGTACAAATGCTTACCTCAATTGAGATGGGAGAGCGTCCAGCTCCAATACTCGAAACCTCGCCTTGACCGCTTTCATGAGCTTGCTTTGCTTAGCGAACCACTCAATTTGATTAGCTAGTTGCTGTCTTTGATAATTATATTGCTTATTGAGTCTGCTCTCCTCTCCGATCTTCGCCCGCCTTTTGGATTCAGTGAGCCTTTGTTTGCTGAGTTCTGATTTCAGAGTCTTGATCTGCACAGCCAGAACATCCAAGGCCCTTTCGAGCGAGACAGTCTCCGTCTTTCTCCCAAGCCATTCTATCCTATTATTTCCCCACCACTCCGAGATACCATTCATATCATCCATCAACTCATGGAAATGCTGGTCTTTCTTCATGAGCTCCGCAAAATCAGTATTTCAGACTTGAGCTGCCCAAAGATGAGTGCGTTTAGTATTTAAACTCGTAGCGGAACGCCTTCTGGAAGCACCACTACTGCCACTACTTTTTGAACTGATGGAACCCTTCGGCGTAGGATATTTTTGCGACTCAAGATGTGCTTCGATTCGTCTGTTCTCTGGACTTTCATTATCCCTAGCACGATGTCCCATTTCCGAATGAAGGACTGCAATGTGGTCCTCGATCGTTTCTACCAACAAGTTCATATCGGCATAAGTGCGATTAATATCCCCTTCAGGAGAATCGGCCTCAAAAGATAGTGGATCGAGGTCGAACTCAGTCTCACTTCCTGGTTTGGTCCTTGGGGACAGTTCCGGACTGATACTTAAGCGACGCCCTTGACTTGCTCGACGTGCTTTTGGTGGAGAAGGCGTCATTTTTACGCTCTCTGAACCGAGTTCTCCAAAAGATGGTATGCTAAAATCCAGCTTTTCAGCTATTAGTGGAATAATCTGGAAGGTCAGAGCATTTTTTCATGTTGAATTAGGTTGCCCTGGTTTTGTTCTTTGTCTGTAGGGCTGCTGTAACCGGATTAGAACATGTGTCTTAAGAACGTTAAAGAGCATGTATGTTGATAGAAGCTAGAACAATAGGAGAACAAAGGAAATAAAGCAAGAATTGAAACGTCTCGGACAATGAAAATCGAACTCAAAAACACGTCAGCACTTGGGCAGTTGGAGATCAAGCATTTTCTGTGTCAGCGAAGTAGTCGCAGAGTAAGTCACATCTCAGGAATTCCATCATTGGTATCCAAATTCCAGATTGCAACAATCATTTTAGGTAGCCCAGTAAAACACTATGGATAGTACAAGAAAGCTGGTGAGGATTGGCTAGTCAAGACCTGGTTTTCAACCCCTCCTGGTACAGGAGTTATAATGATTTTGAGCTTGCTTTACACTTCAGGAAGGAAGATGTCAGAAGATGATAAACCAGGATTCCAAGCGCGCCCTGAATGTAGGAGATACAGCGGAACAGGCATTAAGCAGACAATTGATTTAATTTCCTATATGATGTGCACTTCTCGGCGTAGAACCTCATTAAGATAATTTCCTTTTAATACCTAATCTCACGGTCACAGGCATCGAAAATAAATCGACAGTGAGTTGTTTTATGCCGGAAGAAAAGCTTCACATCTAGGTAAATGTAAAGGAACGCTATGATATAAGAGACCTGTCTATCACTCTAACGTAGATGTGTTCAAAATAATGATCACGTCTCTTACGCATCATCTTCCAATGCCTCTCTCTCTGACTCAATATATTTGCTATCCCCGTCCTTCATACAAGAGGGGTTCTCGAGATCTAATTTCTGGTCATTCGTGCTTCGTTGAAAGTTCGTATTTCCATACATAAATCGCTTGTTCAGACTAATTGCATGCTTCAGGCCATCATCAGGAGAATCCAATCACGGTTTGGGGCCGTTTGACCTATCCAAGTTATGCTCATCTTCTCCCCTCAAACTTCTAATTGTGAATTTGGCGCTATTTCATGTAACTTGGATTCAAAATTTTATTAGTCATTCTATTCCAAACGTCCCTTCGGGATCGAAATCCTCAAGCATTGTTCTCAAATTATCTGCGTGATCCAAGGCCTCGTCTAAGCGTCCAATCCAGCCTTCTGGACATTCGTGTTCTTCTCCTCTTTTTATTCTAAGCCTTTGATCTAGACTGAAGCTTGTAAACCCATTCCTCATTCTAAGAATATTGTACGCACACTCTTTCACTAGCTTGAGTTTGGCTGAGTTTTTCCTTCTGGAGGAATTCATACTGTAGTGGGATGTAGCAACATTATCGGCGAACCATGAACAAGACTCTTGTACCCGAATATCTCGAAACCTGCGCATACTCGCTTGTCTCCAGTGAATTTTGTCGTTTCGCCAAAGTTTAGATGCCGCATCTAACAATCGAAGTTCCGTATTAGAGATCGCAGATAGTACTCCCTTGTCACGCTGAAGGTTCTCGTCCCACAACAACATTCGGCAATACTCCTACAGTTCCGGATCCGTCAGCTTGGAGGGTCTTTTCAAAAAGAGGGGCTTTAATCCAAAACACAAATTCTCATAAGTGTGGGAAGAACATACCAGTCCCTCGTAAATCGCCTCAATAGCCGTGGCAAGTTTGGATGGATTCTGGTTCCAGATGCTGCTGACTATATTATCACGACACCTTTTTGTAAAGCTTTGCATGCCGTCGTTCCAATTCTTGAAGTTCCGTCGTCGCTCAATGTGGATAACTCCTTCCGTACGCTCAGTTTCAAGTAGTTTGTGAATAGCCCGCTCATGAGATTGCCGTGACTGATCTAGTGCCACCATGAAATCACCAATCTTAATGTCATTTTTTGAGTTCAGCAAACTGCTTAGCTTCCTGGTTCCCAATGACGCCAATACCGTCTTAAAGGAACCCTCCATAAGACGCCTGTTAGCCCCTGCCATAATGTTAGCATATCTTCTGCTTCTCAATAGGAATGGTAGGAAGAAAGGGCCTTTTGCGTACAAAATTCATCCTCGGTAATTGTCTCCTGCATCAATTCCTTAGCAAATCTCAAAGCGTCTCTATCTTCAGGACTAAGCTTCAGAGGATCTTCAGTACCAAGCTTGCTGAGAAGCTCGCTATAATATATTTCAGTATGTGGATGATTTTGCAGTCTCATTTCAACTTTATATTCATATGCCTTTTGCTTGAGATCTATTGGAACCCTGACGCCTCGTGTCCTAGTTCCAAGGTATAGGGCTTTCCCTCCGAAAGCGTTCACTCTTGAAGCCTTAACCTATTAACCCAAGTCTTTTCACGTATGAGGTAGGAACACCCACCCAGAATTCTTCTAATTGCACCCCTGAATGGATTAAATTTAGCTTGTATGGTGAGTCAAAGCTGTTAGAGCTACATACCTTCATACATGGACGCTGGTAAAGGGTACATGATTTGTTCTTCAAACAACTTGGGTGCTGTAAGAACGGGGCATACAACAGAGTTTCCATGAACTATGTCTGGCCATTTAGTATAGAGCCAATAACCAAATGGTAGCGTCCCTAGCTGCTGAAACAAGTACGAACGCATCGGCAAAGGAGTTCCGCCAAAGAACTAGAGAAATTCTAAGTAAAGAGTATCATGCATGGTGTTAATTGCATGGTGTTAAATGCTTACCGAAAGTTCCATGGCAAGGCCCAGCTCTGATATTTCTGTTCCCCTCCCCATCCATCAGTATAAATTCTCAAATTCCGAAGAGAAAAGACCCCGTAGACGCGCAGAAAGGTTCCACCGGGGAGTGAGTTAAGGGGGAAAAATTAGGCTAATTACGTTGCTGGTCAAAATATGGTTCAAGGCTCTGTCTTTTGTTATAGAGTTCCCTACATTTGACAAGTTCGATCGCATGCTAGTGAGATGCTCAGTTGGGAGTCAAGAACAGAAGTATCTAGACTTACGGTTGTTTCATGTACGATGGTAGTTGCTAAACTAAGTTCTAACTGCCGTCGTTCGCAGTCGTTTAAATCTTGCCGTAGCAATGGTAAGACATGTTTAATGCTAATCATCATAAAAATAGGGCTTTTGACCTCAAACATAAGGGTATATGCCATGGCATATTTTATCCCCTCTAGCTTCTCAGTCAAGGCGTCCATGCTATCCTCAGCGAATGTTATGGTAAAGTTGTGGTCATCGATCAATGCTTTCATGACTCTGTCTGTCAAAGGGTTATATTAGTACTGCAAGATCCAATGAAGATGGAAAGAACATCTCCACTTTAAAACGACAGCCTGTCAAGATGTATACCGGGGAAGACGAAAGGGAATGGGCGTTTTACCTAACTCCTTCGAAGCTTGTCTAATCTCATCCGAACCGTAGGGTCTTCTGGGTAAAATCTGGTCAATATTTGCATCTTTTACTTGAGGATATTTGCTTTGGTCAGCTATGTCTCCAGGTAGCCGTTGATTTGAGACTAGGTTTCGTTGACTCAAAAGGATTGCATCAAGCTAATCCATCGTCAGTTTAAGAAGTTGCAAAGGGAAGCACAAACTTTACAAAAGGTAACAAACAAGAATTGGTCACCATACGAGTAGCCAATCGGAGTACGGGTTGCATAATATCTCGGATGATAGGGTTTTGCATACTCCACTCTCCTTGTAAACCGGAGTTTGTAGGGCAATGGTCCTCAAGGCGGTAGTAATCGGTCGCCGCTGGAAGTACCCCACTGTCAAAATCTACAATCCATTGTTTATCCTTGTAAATAGAAAGAATCTCGTTGGATAAATTCGGTTTTCGCAATTTGCGACTCGTAACGGCATCGAGGTCGTAGAGTTCCCTAAGAAGAATCGATAAGATACACAACTTGTAAATATTGAGGCCAAAATATTCATACCGCGCTGTGAAGCCATAAAGCGTTTTCCTCTGCCAATTCTCTAATTCTTTTTCCCTTTCACTCAGCTCCTCGGTCGGCGTAGGAGCCCTGACAGGCTGGATGGTATTGTCTGCGCTATGAGGAGCTCGATATTTGGGTGGCCAGTCGGGTTCGTCCATAGTTTTTCCTTGCTATTCTGGCCCTCAATCAGGCTTTGGTTCCAAAGATTTCACCACATCCGATGAATCCAAGGTACACAGGAACTTCTTCCCTCCTTTGTCATGCATATTTCAGCCTTTTGGCCGAGGTTTAGGGATATTGGTACGTCTTTGTCTGTCAACCACCGCCTAACGAAAACAGCCTAGTAAATAACACCCCTCAAATGTTCAGTTCTACCATTGTTCCTTGGTAGAAGAGTTAAACAGGAACCCTAACCAAAGCAGAACACGGAGGGTTTGGCTGGGCTCGAGAAAGAGCTTTTGAATTGATAACGAAAGCTTACATTTTCAAGTATCTTGAATTTGGACCTGAAACATCTCTTATATAAGTACGGAATGCGAAATTTAAGGAGCCTATGGGTTGAAAAATACCATCGTGAAGAAATAGTCGTCGGTTCACGCTCTACCGCCCCGTCTCGCTTGTAGTCGGCAAAAGCTGTGTGGCATACGTATCTTGCCATCTGTGCTATGGTAACCCCCAAATATGTGTTTTGGTCAATTAGACTATTATGACCGCCGTACCATAGATTTAAGGACTATCATTATGGCAGTGGCAAATATGATAATCCATTCCATAATGTACTTTTGTTGTATCTCGGGAGGGTGTGGAACAAGTAGGGTGTTAGGTATAGAATAAGGAATGAGGAATAGAATATAGCAGGTAAACATTAGACAACATACAAATATATATAAGGGTCCATACTCCCTGCCCCTTGTTACTTCCCCACCACTATTATTCTTGAATATAGACGCTGCCGACGCGGCTATGTCGCCATGTCGCTACAGAGTTAGTTCCGGACGTAAACTAAGGGCGAGATAATAGTATTTGCGAATAGCCTCACTTTTTACTTGTTTCGGTACAAACGACTTACGTAGCGTTGTACTTCAATTACTTATTGGTTTTAAGTTGTTTTATTTACTTTCCTAGGCGAGGGGTATACTTTAATTAAAACCTACCTTTTCTTATTAATCTAAAAGACAAACAATCCGCTTGTAAGAATTAATCAAATAATACCGTCTATTCCATTATGCGTACTAATTGATCAAATGATCGTAGTATTAATTAATTAGACGAAATTACGGTTACAATAGCACACATCAAAATAAGGGTACTGTACCCCCAAATGCGATTCAGAATGGTATGTGGCTTTGAATTTTCGCGCAAATATTATAAAAGACTCTATAGGACGCATAATTAAATACTTCTCTACGGTGTTATTGGCGTAATCCATGTTTCTTTAGTTATTACGGAAAATTCACCGTCTTTGTACATAAAACAACAGTAATCTTCACATTGAATTTTCCTACGGAATTCGCCCACATGCGCTTTTGGTGGTGAGCCAAGGGCCAAATTAGAAATAGCTGGATAAAAGAACGGTGACACTTAGTCCTTAGTTATGAATTCCTTGATTAAATTGTTTTTATACGCAGCACTAACAAGTTTAGAGCACTACAAACTGGCGTTATGATACTAGTCATTGAGTCCCTACTATTCTCCCTCCCATCTCCTTTCAAACGTATTAGTAGAACCCAGCGAACTCACATCCCCCATCTCGCTTATCTCCCCACTAACCACCACCCCTCACACCAACATCTCTCCGCATTTGCACGTTCGCTGCCCGATGTTCCCGAAAAGCCTGGGTTCACTATAGTACTGGAGCCTCCACCCATCCTGAACCCAACTCCGCCCTGTCTTGGTTATGTAACACACCAACATTGAATCTCACCATCTGCCCAATATGGACAGGGATTCAACCTCCGTTGGTCGTCTGTGTGTGTCAGGGCTTCCCTCCAATTCTCCTTTTTTCCCACCAACACCTGAGAATGTCCATTCAATCATGAACTTTGGACAGATGAACTGAAGTTCTTAGTATAATGGGCTACAAGGCGAATTCATTACTGGCTGGTGTGGCTTTGTTGGCCTTCATCTTTCTCCGACGTCAGCACCAACGAGATACTGCAGCTCGTGAACATGGCTGCCAACCTCCGGTCAAGCACCAAGTTAGGGAAGTCTTCACTGGATTCGATTTTCAGGTGGCTATCAATACAAATGTTACTTGTCTCTTCCATTGGCACCGGAAATACGGAAAGACGTTTGAAACTCGACAGATGTTCGGGCTTCCGTCCATAGGAACAATTGCTCCCAAAAATCTTTGTGTGGTCCATATGGCTGTTAACGATTTCGGCATAAAGCCATTCCGATTACCAGGAATGGAATAACTCACCGGCAGAGGATTTCTCACGGTGGATGGGAATCTATGGAGTCACTCCCGAAAACTACTGAAACCAACTTTCTCGAGAAACAACATCATGGATTTGTCTGTGATTTCGAGCCAGATGGATGGGTTTTTTGACAAGTTACCGGCCGACGACTCGACGATCGATTTGCAGCCTCTCTTATATGATATGGTAGGCTAAAAACAACCTCGGGACTATATGTATTACTGACGAACGGAAACAGTTTTTTGCAACTTCGCTATTTTTTCTCCTGGGAGTCAATCCCGACGACGATCTCCCTGGTTGTCCCCACAAATCGGTAGACTTCATCTATTCTTTTCACGATGCGATATTCCGCACCATATTCAAAATCTTGCTAGGAAGATTCTGGCCACTGGTACCTCAAGCAAAATACCTCCACAGCTGCAAGTTAACACATGAGTATATCGACTACCATGTTGCTCGAGCCCTAGAGGATGAAGATAGCCTTGGTGATAAAAAAAGCATGCTTCAAGGACTTTCGGCACAGATTGATGAACGACTTTATATCCGAAGTCAAATTATTCAAGGCATGTTAGCTTCGCAAGAAACCATCTCTGCATCAGACTTGGGCACGATATAAACGTTTCGATATCGGGGGGGTCTACGATAATTATCGTATCGTAAATATATGGACGATACGATATCGGCTTTTTGACGATATCCGATATAATATCGATTATTATTATACGTAACCTAGAAAAACTATAAATCTATCTCTAGACTAATTAGTACGCTTTATTCTCCCTAGCTCCCTAGCTCCTTAGGCTCTAATAGATAATAATACTACTACGACTACTACTACTATTATTACTACAACGCTCTAAATTTAACTAAAAATGCTACTACTTAACTCTATACCTAGTCTCCCTTGTAGAAACCCTTTTAGAAGTCGCGAATAATTACTAAAATAAGCCTGAGCTAATATAATAGCTAACAAGCCTATTCTGCCCCCGCCGCGTCGAAGAAAGGCTCCGAAGCTTAAGAACTCTAATACCTTTATTTTTTAATAACTAAACCCTCTCTATATATAGTATATAATAAATAAGTATTATAATTACATAGAAATCCGTTATATATAGCCCAGGTATTCTTATTCGAAGAAAATCGCTTATAAAATCGTTAATACTAGAAACTATAAGTCCTACTATTACTAGAACTATCTATCTATTCCTATGATAGAACAAGCCTCTAATATTACCCTAGAGATACGAAATAAACTAAAGAGTATATTTAACGTACTACTAAATTCGTGAACCTATAATAAACACTATTAGCTATTACTATTAATTTAATTATTAAAAATGACCTTGTATTTAACCTTATTATATAGCTAGAAATAAAGGAGTTTATATCGTTCTTATCTCTTAAAATATAATAAGTATCTCGGCGGACTTTAATACGGGATTTATAATTAAAATACGAAAGTAGCGAGGATTAATTAGTATTTAAATTATAGGAGTAAGTTATATTAGTTTAGGTAGTCGAATATCGTTAATAACTAATAAATAGTCTAGAAATAATAAACTCGATTATATCGCGGTTATAGTATACTAGTCGAACGACGACTTTACTCTCGAATCTATACTTCTAGATATTATTAAAAAATAACTAATCCCTTATATAATAGATAGGTTCTAGTATAAAAGCTCCTAGAGGTTATAAATCGACTTAATATTACGTATTTAATTCTTTTAATTACCTAGGATAATATAGCGCTAAATAATACTATACTAGATAAGTTTTAGGCGGAGGTTAAGAATTAGTAGAAGTTACTCCTAAAAGATAATATTAGTTTAACTCTAATAAAGAGTCTAGATAAAGTGTTAAGTTATCTAAAAATCTACTATATTTTATATCTATAGTATATACCTTTATTATTACCTAAAGTACTAATTGTAACGAATACTCAAACTGGCTAACTAAACTTGGCTGGGTGTTCGCTGGTTGGTATGCTATGATAAGAAGAAG